TAAAGATCAGCAACTTTTAAGCTATTAGCATGATTCAATGTAGTAGAGTCTTTTGAGTAATACAGCCAATTTCATCATTTTTATTTAAAGCATTGTTGAAGTATTACACATCATCCATGATAACGTTGTACTGGATTGCTCCTTGAGAAAGAAACTTCAGGATGGCTTTTTTTTTTTTTTTCTTTTCTCTCTGCCTCTTGTATATATACTGGAGAGCTTGGAATAAGGTAAGACACACAGATCCCTTCAAGTGGAAATGAGATATTCTGAAGGAAAAATTGGAGATCTGAGATTGTGAAGAGAAAAGACAACCCAGGTGAAACCTGGAAAATATGATATTGGGTGGAATATCAGGGAAACAAGAGTGTCTCAAGCAGTAGGAGAAGTGGGAGGTGTCAAGGAATGATAGGAAAGCTCATTAAGACGGTGACTAGGGCCAGTCTGCGGCATGGTGTAAGGCAACTGGATCCCACATGACCCACTGTGTGATTTGAGTCCTGGACCTAGCAGCTTGTAAAACATGGGTGCATGTGCTTATGTGCCCAAATTCCTGAGAGGAGAATAAAGGAGAAGGGATTATGGTGTATCTATCCCCACCAGGGAATGATTTCTCCCTTTCCTTAAGTCTCTCCCTTTCTCTCTCTGCAAGTGCACACCCCTGTGGAAAATTTTAAAAGATGATGACTGAAGAAAGGGTCAAGAGGTGTAGAAAAATGTATATAAAAACTCAAAGTATTTTGTTTTCCAAATATGACCTTCCTGAAAACATTGGACATGTGTACCCATGATCAAGGGCTGGCTGATGCTGGAGGTCTGTGGCAAAAAGATCCCACTGGGGATATCACCTCCCACATCTTCTCTCACCCTCTCTCTCTGGGAAGAAAGAAAGAAATGAAAAGAAAAGAAATAAGGAAGGAAGGAAGCATTTATTGTACCTATTGTGTTCTATTGGGTCGTTGGAAGAATCATGATACATTCTTGTATAGAAAAACATAGAAAAATACATCATGACGTTTATGACGACCCAATAGGTTTCTGCTATTGGTGGTGTTTTTCTTTTTTAGTTTTATTTATTTATTTAAATTATTATTTATACATTTAATCACTATACATCATTTAGTTTGTAAAGAGATTTTACTCAGCATGATATACACCTCAGCTCAGTTGAGAATATTATACATGTCCTCATCAACAAATAATAAACCATATCTGTGTCCCACATATGTCTTACCTCTCTATTTTTTCCCCAAATTCCTTTTCCTATGCTCTTTCCATCCCACACTCTTTACACTTTGTTTCTATTGTCCATAACAATTTTTTAATGATTGTATGTCCTCCAGTCTTTCAGTCTCTACCATAGAGTGTGGAAGGTCAGTATATGTTAAGTGAAGACATACAATGTCTATCTTTTGTAGCCTGACTTGCTTCACTCAGCAATGAATCTTCCATATTTGTCCACTTTCTATCAAATTCCAGGGCTTTGTTGTTTTTTATGGCTGAGTAGTATTCCATGGAGTATATGTGCCACACTTTTTCAATCCATTCATCTGTCTGTGGACATTTGGGTTGGTTCCATGTCTTAGAAATTGTGAATAGGCTGCAGTGAAAATAGTTGTGGAAGTGATTTTCCGAACGAGTGCTCTCCTGTCCTTTGGTAGATACCCAGGAGTGGAATTGCTGGATCATATGGTAGTTCTATTTGAAGGTCTTTATGGAAGTTCCATATCGTTCTCCAAGGTGGCTGGACCAATTTACATTTCCACTAACAGTGTAGGAGTGTTTCCATTTTACCACGTCCCCTCTAGCACTTATCATTATTATTATTATTATTATTTTTATCTTCACCATTCTGACTGGGGTTAGGTGGTATCTCATTGTGGTTTTGATCTGCATCTCCCTTACAACGAGGGATGACGAGCAGTTTTTCATATGCTTTTTGGCTGTTTATATGTCTTCCTTAGAGAACTGTCTGTTCAGCTCATTTTCCCATCTTTTAATTGGGTTAATCTTTTTCTTCCAGGTAAGCCACTTGAGTCTTCATGTATTCTGATTATCAGTCCCTCATCTGAGGCAGTTAACAAAAACTCTCTCCCATTCTGAGGGTTGTCGATTCACACTAATTACAGTGTCCTTTGCTGTGCAGAAACTTCTTAATCTGATGTAATCACACCTGTCCTTTTTGGGGATTATTGCTTGTGCTTTGGGGGGGGGGGTCTTACTTAAGTTCTGTTACTATTCTTGTTAGTTTCAAAGATGGATACAATTCAGTCAGCCTTTGCCCACTAGTATTTGAAACTTGGTGAAGAAAAATGTGAAGCTTTTTTCTTTATCATTACTATGTTTTAACTGAACTATTAATTGACACAATAGGCAAGGAAGAAGTTAGTAGAAGGAATCTTGAAGAAAGACAGGATATTAAATGATAGACATATAGTTGACTTGGACTTAATCATGTGGGGAAATTTATTAATTAGAAAAGTAAAACATTGCCTCTGGAGAACAGTGGCTACTTTGGGGGTTGGCAAACCTTTTTCTGTAAAGGGTCAGATCCTAGATATTTTATGGTTTCTGGGCTGCAGACTCCTTTGAGGTCATCAAGCTCACTGAATTTGAAATCATAGCATAAGTGCTGTCATTAGCAAAATGTAAATGAATGACTGTGATTCTAGTCTGATAAATTTTATTTATGAACACCAAAATTTGAATTTCATATAATTTTCACATCTTACAAAATATTATTATTCTTTTAAATTTTTTTACTATTTAAAAATACAAAAATCCTTCTTAATTCATAGTCTTTAGAAAAGCTGGAATAAGGCCAAAATCTGCCTGTGCCCAAATTAGAGTGGTAATGTTACCTAATAAGTGGTCCCTTGTATAGTGTAAATTTTTCTTAGGCCATTACCCAAATCATTAAACAACAATGAAGCACAGGTTATTGGGAAAAAAAGAAAATTGTTTGGCACTTTATTTTTACATTCAAGTACTAAATTCTTTCATCATCTTGTAATTTGATACATCTTAAAGTAAACACGCTCCTTTGATTTACCTTAGTTTCTCTCTGTTTCAGGGAAGATTATAGTTCATGAGCTGAACTTGAATTATGTTTGCTTTCAATTTAGGTAGGTTGAGGAAGCATAGATGTGCAATAGGGAAGCCAATCCAGATATCATTTTTACTTGGCTTTAGAAAGTGTTTTTCTAGTACATGTGAGCATGGGTGTGTCTGATGTTCTGGGAATTTACTTCAAACAAAGGAATGAAGCCACGCTATGATGATCTGACTCAGTTGGAGGTGGGAAGCCATCCAATTTCCCCATCTTGCCTCCTCTCCTGTCTTTCTGATGGGCTCTTCTTTTTAATGTTGTGTTTAGATGCTTCTTCTCAGATCAATCCAAACACTCACTCACACAAAGCTACCTTTCCTGAAATTGTTCTTGCAGAGCAGAGGGCATCATGGATATCTTGTGCCCTTTGCAAAGTTCTTGGAGTTGGAACATTCAGAAGAGGAACTCAGCAAACAAGCCAGTAATTAAGCAGCATAAATGATAATACTCACTAAGCTATTAAGCTAGACTTATTTTGGATGAATCCCAATAAATAGTACCTCGATTCATGTGGAAATATAAATCTATCTAGTCTACACATTTTTGCTAGATTAAGGTAACCTGGGTCCTCTGCTTTCCTGACATTTATGGGTGACCAAAATACAGGTCTCTTGGAGTGTTCAGTTCTCCTGCAGGTGTCACGTGACAGGTTGCAAAATATGTGCTCCCATCAGAATTGTCAACACCTATGACAACTAATAGTTTGGAGCACTAATTATCTATCTAGGGTGGGCGTTGTTAATATTATTATCATCCCCCTTTGACAAGTGGGAAAACTGGAATGCAAAAGGTAAAACAGCCTCTCGGTGTCAGACAGCTCATGACGACATCAGCATCAAAATCCAATCTTACATCCTCCAAGTGTTCATGTTTTAAAAATAAAAAAATCAAGAACCAAACAACCCCTAAACAGCAACTATGATCAAAAACCTAGAAAAGCCCTCTTAAATTTGAAGTGTTAACCATGCCAGGTATGGCCTCCTAGACCTCCTGGCTACCAGCGCTCTCTGAAGCAAAGGAAAATACTAATTGCTTGCCAGCAAAGTACTCCTATTGAGCATTCCTGGATACATCTCCTACAGGTTCTGAAGAGCTTGAGTCTGTTTGGTCTCCCGTGGCTGACTTTTACATTTCTGGATCTTTCTCCGGAGTTTAAGACTTTAGATGCACCTTTTCTCTTACCTCTCAAGTTTCTGGCTTCTGGTGTGCCAGCCTTATTACATGACCACTTCAACATTTTATGTATCTGAGAAGGACTGCATTTGACTTACCCTCTCAGTGCTGAGCTATCATTTCTGGGGTTGGAACAAAGAGGGCTCTCAAGCCCCAGTCTCTGTCTTCCAGTTTATCAGGGCTAAACAGGTGTGGATGCCAGTTCTTTGGAAGTGTGCTGCATGGGCTACATCATCATTCAGGGTATGCTGAGGATAGGAATGAGTGGATGCTTGGTTTTTCCTGGAGATGTTGTGCCAGTTTTTATTGACATGCGATCCCTATCTTCACCTGCTAAGATGTAGACAGAATTCTGGTGAAAGGGGTTTCTTGGCACTTTTCACATGCAGTCTGAAAACTGGCACGAATGTTTCCATAGGTTAGCTACCAATGACCTGTTTGCAAATATTTGAGTCACTTACTGGCACTGTTGAGCATATTCAAGTTTTGAAAATCTTCTTTCCTCCTTTATATCCCAGGCTAAGTGAAAACTTAGTCAGAGTGTACTTGAATGACCTTCACACTGTGCTTCCTCCAGAGGTACAGAGGCAGTGAGGTAATCACTGTTTCAGCTGACTGGCTATCGCCTGCTTTATACGATGCCAGGGGCTACCTATGTAGATTCCCAGGGTAGAACTGTAGGAACAAACCACTGTCAATGGTTAACCCAGGTTCTTGATGTCTGGGACTTTCCTTTATTATTAACTAAAGAACATTCTTACCATTATCCAGCTGAGAGCACCCAGTTTGTAGGTTCTCTGTGGGGAGAGTGAATAAAGGTAAGCATTGCTTTATTTTTGCTATTATACAAAATCTTTCAGTCTATGTTCTGCTCTTGCTGGCCTGTGGAATCAACAATGCTGTGTCCAGGCATGCAAACACCAATGTTGAATTAAACGTAATCACGATCATTTAATTTCTTATCTGAGTGCTTTAAGTAAGAGTCAGTGTGTCATCTTCCTACATTCTTTGAAGTGTTGATCACAAGCAGTTTTGCACTGGTGTTTACAGAATCTGTGTATCAGCCCTTACTTGCTGATACAATACATGTAGATATTTAAAAGTGACTTTGTCATAGCTATACCATACAGTGTATTCTATAGCTTCTTTTAAAACCAGGTTATTGCAGCCTGAATATTTATAGATATTTATGAATATGTAACTTCGAGCATTAAAACATATGCATTTTATACTCCTCTTTAAGAAGCTTGAAGAAAACCAGGTTAACCTTTTCTCAGAGTTGTATGTTATGATGCAAGAGAAAGTAAAACATCTATATTTCTGAATGTATTGTAACATCAATTTGAAGTAAAGAATTTATTCCTAGTGTATCTACATTCATCCCTTTACAAATTTATTTCTTGGCTATTCAAATCTTAGGACTTTTGGCCTTGAACGTTTATTCAGAAAAGTGTGAACTTGTAAATCCTTTTTCTTTGGATGCTGTGAATTCTCTAATATACATAAATACATGGTTTTATTTGTTGGTGGACTTAGGTGGTAAACAAGAACTTCTCTATAAACCACATGAATTTTGATAATTTGCATTGTACTCTCATTGACTAAAGTGCAGACTGAAATGTCCTCAGGAAATTGGGATTGGAGTAGTTCGACTGAATAGTACCCAACGACAAGATGAGACAGATCCTTATGAAGAAAAAAATATGTTAATATATCTTTGCTACTCTACCCTGGGAAATGTAGACCAGTCATTTTCTAAGTCAGATTTTAACCAATAACATGAAGTATCTAGACTACAGCTACTTTATAGAATACATTTAAAGAATTCCTGAAATTAAGCCAAAAAGTGGTTTAAAACTGAACAGGGTCCAGAGTTCAAATCAAAAAGGTGAGGAGAGAGAGAGGAAAAAAGGAAGGAAGAGGCAGAGAGGAGGAAAAGAGGGGAGGAAGAAGAGAGAGTACAAGAACTCAAACAGCTGATACATGTCATTCTATTTATACAAATTTTTAGAACATAAGAATTGTGATTAATCCAAAACATTACAAAACTCATAGAAACAAGACTATGACAACAGGCTATCTTAATACTTTATTTAATTAATTTATTTATTTTAGGTTTTTGCCATGGAACATGTGCACTCACTTGAGAGAGACACAGAAAGAGACAGTGAGGAAAAGTGAGAAATCTCCCTTCCAGGAGGGATAGCCACACCACATTCCCTTCTCTTCCATTCTTCTCCTGGGATTTTGAGCACAAACACACACATGCCCATTGTGATTTTTCAAGTCACCAGGTCCAGGACTCAAACCATGGTCAACCATGTGGAAGTCCAGCAACTTAAGCACTATACCATGCGCTGATCCCATTAATACACTTTTTAAATAAGTATTTTGACTTGGCGGAGAAGAAGAGTTTCAAGGGCATTGGAAAAGTATGTTTCTTCCATAATATAGGTTGGTGGGGAATACAAGTTAAGACTTGGATAAAAATTGGTTGGAAACTAGAAATTGGCAAATGCAATTGGGGGGGCAGAAATAATAGATCTATAAAGGGTATTGAAAGAGAATATTTGGCACCAGAACAATCCATGTATTTGTTAAATTTGCTAAATCTACCACTTGAACAAACTGTTCTTTTTTTTGCCCCCCGAATGAAATATATACTTGAATATTCTGTTAGTTTCCTAGATTTAGAGAATGTGGCCTCAAACCTAACTTTAGCAATAGTGGATGGAAATTTCATTATTTCAAGTATCACATGGACTATAAATATTTCTATGGGAGGGAGGAGAACAAGCATTTAAGTGCTTACTATGTCCTGAATGCTAAAATACTGTATTTATTGGGTTTTCACCTCAACCTTATAAAGAAGCTATTAATATTATATTCATTTTATAGGTGAAGCTTAGATTTTTCCACTTTCTGGCTGTGTAATCTTGGAAAAGTTGTATAACTTCTCTGAGTCCTTGGTACCAACTTGGCCTTGTCTGAATTTCAAAATGCACGTGTTCCCCATGTCCACACTATTCCCCACCTTAACTAATAACACTGACTCTAAGAGCTATGGGCTTGATACAAAGAGAAAAGACAAGTCTGCAGAGATCCCTTTGGTTTCTTTATCAGGCATAGTTGTGTTTGTAAAATAAGGCCCTATCCTTATACACCTGACAGTGACTTTTTCCCTGTAGATTTTGGTTGTAATTCCCCAATTGGGTGCCTGCCTTTGCTCACTACCGTACCATTTTACATGGTCACAGCCTTGTGCTTTAAGAATCCACCCCCATGACTGATACTAAGGTGACTACTTACACTGAAGAATATACAGTTATGTCACATTGATAAAATCATTTCTTCTAGAATAGAGGAAACTTTACTCATTTTTTCTTTCTTTCTTTCTTTCTTTCTTTCTTTCTTTTTTTTTTTGAGAGAGATTTTTGCTATAGGGCACATGGGCTCACTGGAGAGACAGAGAAAGAAAGTGAGAAATCCCAGAGGGGGTGGCCACACTGCAATCCCTTCTCCTCTATCCTCCTCTTGGGATTTTGGGCATCACAAACACACACCTGGCATGAGATTCAAGCTCTGGGATCCAAGACTGGAATCATGGTTGGCCATGTGGAAGTCCAGTGTCTTAACCACTATGCCATTTGTTACACCCCCCCACTCTTTTTTGCTAAAATATTGTGAAAAAAAAGTTAACTTTTTTAAGAAGGGTGATTTTATTTGTGGAAAAATAATTAGAATTTTGATTATTTATTTATTCTGTATTTTGTCACTATCATTTTAAATTCTTATCCACTGTATGATACTTGAGAGATTGGGTCTTCTGGTCATTTCCTTGATTTGTGTGGTATTGTACTTAACAAGAGATATTTTTCACACATGAATTCATGATTCTCTCAGCAAATATGTGTTAAGCGACAAAACATTCTTAAACTTGAAGGTTGGGTGGGAGATTATGAGCAGTGAAACCACTTTCTTGAGAAATTTAAGGATAGAAAAAAGAAAAAAAAAAACAAATTATCGTAGAGTAATATATTTGTTTGTGTATTTTAACAAAATTTATTGATTGCTTATTCTGTGCCAGACATTGATTAGACATTAAGGATAGATCAATGAAAAGAAAAAGTCAAAGAAAAACCTACCTTTGTGAATCTTACATTTTAGTAAAAATTGGGGAGACTATTAACAAGCAAAATATGAAAAGTAATAAGTAATATAGACTAAAACAAAATGTGGGAGAGGATCATGTGTGTTTTGGGAAGACAAAGGAATAAGAGTATTGTATTAGTTATTGATCATGTGTAACAAGCAACCCAAAACTTCGTGGCTTAGAATAGCGAGTATTTTTCTCTTTCAGCTTTGTGGATCAAGCATCCAGGCTTGTCTGGTTTCCTGGATCAGGATCTCACACATGTTGAGTGGAAGTGTCCACAGACACTGTAGGGATCGGTAGCCTCATCTAGGGAAGGATCCTCTTCCAAGATCACTCTCCAGGTGTTTGGCAGGATTTGGCTCCTTCATGGGCAGTTGGGTGGGGGTGGGGGAGCAGGTGGTCATCTCTGCCTCAGTTGTTAACAAGAAAGTTGTTAACAAGAACTCACCTTCAGTCCTTTGTCACTTGAGACTTTCACTGCCTGGCAGCTGGTTTCCATTATAGCAAGACGCGGGCCAGAGTCATTTTCTAACCTAATCACAACACTGCTATTTCCTCTATCTGGCCATAATCTATTAATCTGAAATGAGTCCGTTAGTCCAATTCACACTCAAGAGGTTGTGGTGGGGGTTATACAAAGGCATGAACACCAGGAGATGGAGATCACAGGACACTGTCTCCAACGATACCTTTCACAGGTACACACTTACAAATTGTACTACCAAAGAAGGCTTCACTAAAGGGGTGATGGCTGATCAAAGACTCAGGTGTGATACAGAATGAGTGACTTGGATATCTTGGAGAAGGTCAGTTTGGGTTGATGGAGCTGCTTTGAGGCAGGGATGCCCATGACTTGTTCAAGAAATAGCACGGAGGGTTTGGACAGTGGCACAGCAGTAAAAGGTGATGCTCTACAAAGATGAGTCACAGGCAGGTTCCAAGTCCGTGTCTGGACACCTTCCTGAGTATGCCAAGCACACTTGCATTCATGATCTAGGATTGGCTGAGGGTGGATTACAGGCTCAACACCCTATTGAAGGTGTGTTTACTCTCTCTCTCTCACTCCTAGAAGAAATAAATAAGTTAATTAAGAGAGAGAGAGAAAAAAAGAGAAAACAGTGCGGAGGCCAGTATGATTGAAATAAGTTTAAACTTGTGAGAGTAATGACCAGGGCAGATGCAGGTTTGAGTAGGTAGACAGGAAGTGAAGAAGAGCATTCCAAAGGACAGGCAGATGGTGAAGTAAATTAGGAGATGACTCCTCTGGGTAAGCCAGAGGAGTAAATGAAAAGGTATTGTAACACCAAGACTGTGTTGAGGCTAATGGCATGCTCACCAACAGGAGGCTGGTAAAGGATCATAACTCCCATCAACTCAGCCGTCGGGTGCTCTCTGGCTTATCCCAGATGTTGCCAACAGACAGGCAGCTACAGAGTGAAAGTTGCTTTCTTGGATAGGAAACACAATAATTAGAAGGCTTTACCCAAACACCTCTCTCCTGATTGGGATGTGCTCTTTTCTCAAAGTTTAGTAACAATTAGTCCATCTGGGTTAACATTGCCAAGTGGTCCCTTTGCTGAGAACTATGGTAATAAATGCTCATCTCTGTTGAAGGTAAAATAAACTTGAGTATGTCATTTTCTAATAATGTTTCTAGGCCCA